GATGTTCTACTACAGAAAAATATACACATTAGAGCAATAAAAAAACACACCCCTTGTTATTTCCTAAAAGCCCTTTTGAAAGCAGTGATACAAAGCTATGAAGAGAAAGGCAACTCCCTTCAGTCCACTGTTTAATTCACCTGCCATCTAAGGGCAAACGTGAATTCATGCAGCAGCCACAGCTCAGATTTGCACAGACCACAACAGACGACCCAGTCTTAGCACAGACCTGGGCCCACGACGCCCAAAATCCTGGGGGGAAACAGAGAGAGCTCTGGGCCATTGTGCTCAAATACCTTCCAGAATGTAAGAAATGCTTTTATAAATGACCAACCAAACCTTTATGGATTGTGTAGTGACACAGGTGAACACTCGAATCGTTTCACGTGATTTCCTTACTGAACGCTTTGAACTCCTAAATATTAAGGATCAAAACTATATTCCTTCTAAATAAAACTACTAGGTTGCACCCTCCCAATACTCCGTGATATTATGAAAGCTCAGGCGCAGCCTAACCCCATGTCCTAGAAAACAGAAGATTTTGTAAAAAATTTATTTTAAAAACAAAATGCCACCTTTTGACGGCTCCTCTTTTGGTCCTCTCAAAAAGCTGGCAATCTAACTTTCTCAATGAAACCTGTGTCTGGGATATGGTCTGTCTCTCTGTTCCCACCACAGACCCGACGCAGTGCCCTGCACAGAGTAAGCACTCGTGAAGATCTACTAGTTTGATTTTGAAAATGCTGGTGCTTTGAAGAACTTCCTCCCATCCATGCTTGGAAAATCCAAAGCTAAGAACTGCATTTCCCGCCAGAGGTGTGCCGCTGAGCAAGAGGATCCTTCCACACACTGACAGGCCATTCCCCCAGCGTCATTAATCTAGCATGACACTCTTTCCCAAACTCCTTCACTGAATCCCGCGCCCAGAGCATGCAGGGCAAATTCCTCACGCTGTCCAAGCCTGCCGCGGTTCTGTCGCTCCCGCTCTCAGCCTTTCCCGCGGACTCCCCAGCATGAGCCATCAATCGCTGCATCCAGCAGGTTACGTTCACCCCTCCCTGGCGGGTGCCACTCCTCGGGCCTGGAGAGGCCCCAACCCTCCCGGTTCGACCCTACTGCACCCCCACCAGGGACCACCGAAGCCCGCCTCTGCGGGCTGCTGTGAATTCTCCTGTGGGAACCCTTTCTGCACCCGCGTTTTGCACACCGGCTCTCACCACCTCGTCCCCTTCACGTCTCTGGCAGCTCTCCTGACACGCGAAGGGCACGGGCCAAGTCTGACACTGCTTTTGGACCCCACGTAGCCCCCTGGGCACGCGAGCCGATTTCAGAGAACAAGTCGCAAACGCTTGCTGAACACACTGTTTAGAAATGACCGTGGGAGTGTTTAAACCAAATAATTTCAAGTTATTCAAGCTCATATCAGGCTGGAGTATAGAGCTAGGCCTCTGGGCCTCTGGTCTAAATTAGCTTAAAAAAACAATAATGCCATGTTCTTTTTCTACAAGACAATTTTAATTCTATAACTCAACCCTCACAAACCTCCTGTCCTCCCCCATTCCCACAACCAACCCTTACATGAACCATAACTGAAAGTGACTTTTACTCCTGAAAGTTCGCTCCCATCAGCCGCAGGTT